ATTTATATAGGTTGCAAAAAAAAATATACATATAGATTGCAAAATATATATTTATATATATATATATTTTGCAACCTATATATATATAGATTTATATATATATATATTTTGCAACCTATTTATATATATTTATATATATAGCGAAAGAAATGTAACCAGCTTCTCTTGGAAAAACACAACGGCAAACTTATCTCTGTGTTACCATTACAGTAACTAATCAACAGTCTGCTAACATTCCATGTGAGTTAAATACACAGTTAAAAATAGTGTCATGTGACTGCACGTGAAATGCAATGCTCTCAGAAACTGAAAGCAGTAAAATCCCGTTCTAAGGAAACAGACCTAAAAACATTTTGAATGGCATTTAATGGACTGTCTCTGGTGAAACTATTACTTCCAGTTTCAGATGAAGTATATACAGTTTGGTTAATTGTGCTACTAGGGTCTGGCTCTGCCCTTTCTCCTGCTGGGCGGTCCAGGTCACTTTTGATGTGAAGAGCTAATTACTCTGCTCCTCAGTCCTTCTGTCAACATGGTCTGTCACCCTCCTCCCCCATCTCAAGTCTGCCCAATATACAACTTTTTAAAAATAAGATCAGTCTATATTAGAATACATACAACTACAGTGAGTGGCCTCCCAAAATCGTTTTTGCTACAGACTGATGCCTATGTGAACTGAATATGATGAAGATATTCATTACACAGAAATCTGCATACATTAATAGACTGTGATGTAATGCATTCATCAAAGGACTGCTACGTTACGATCTGCTCGAACAGAGAAATGGATTCATATACAGTACTAGAAATTTTATGTCTAGGGGAGCCTGGGTGGCTCAGGCAGTTAAGCGTCCGGCTCCTGATTTCGGCTCAGGTCACGATCTTGCAGTTCATAGGTTTGAGCCCCGCATCGGGCTGTGCACTGACAATACAAAGCCTGCTTGGGATTCTCTCCCTCCCTCTCTCTGCCCCTAGCCTGCTCACTCTCTCCCTCTTAAAAATAAATAAATAGGGGCGCCTGGGTGGCGCAGTCGGTTAAGCGTCCGACTTCAGCCAGGTCACGATCTCGCGGTCCATGAGTTCGAGCCCCGCGTCAGGCTCTGGGCTGATGGCTCAGAGCCTGGAGCCTGTTTCTGATTCTGTGTCTCCCTCTCTCTCTGCCCCTGCCCCGTTCATGCTCTGTCTCTCTCTGTCCCAAAAATAAATAAACGTTGAAAAAAATAAATAAATAAATAAATAAATAAATAAATAAATGAATAAATAAATAAAAATTTAAAAAAAAAAAGGAAAAAAGGAAGAAACTCTATGTCTAAATTGGATTCTCCCTGTAGTTTAATAGCAGTATTCTTGAAAGTATTCAATTCCCAAGTGAAAAATAGTCATTTCTTAGCTAAAGATGTATCATAAATAAAGCTCAAATAACATCTATAGGATTCTTATTTTAGGAAGTTCTTACTTGAAGCCACTTCTCTCACACTAACACCACAATCAATAACAGTAACATGGCTCAAAGTTAGGTAACACTTTTACTTATTCTAACAAGCGTTTGGTCCTTGAGGTACATACCAACAGTGTGGATCGGTTTCCTGTATGGCATCAGGCCAAAATTGTATTGAAAAATCCCTCTGGCATGGAAAAGAGGCAAAGCAAACCCCATGATCTTCTGTAGCCTCTCTTGCACGGTTCGAAGCCATGAGCCTTCAGGGTTGTTAACTTGTTTAAACAGCTCATTTTCTCCAAAAGAAAACACTGGGACCAAGGAGGCACTACAAATAACAAAGGGGAAGAGTACAGATTTTCAATGGAAGGGATTTAAGTATTTTATTCTGTCCAGCTGGCTTTTGCAACCTATTCCTGACAATTTTTCAATGTTCCTCTGCCTCCCTATCCTGCTAATTTCATGTTCCACACCATGAAACTTATACTTGAAATCGTTTGAGAAGGGACTTCAGCAGCCTAGCAATTTATGGAAGTTTATTCGAGAGCCAATCAAAGCTCCAGGAAACTTCTTTTCCACCTATAGTTTGGGCCATGGTTCATTTGTTCATTTGACTGGAAATCTGTATTGTGAATATAAAATTTTGTACCTTTTTTGTTTGCTTTGCTTTGCAAGGTGAGTGTAGGTGCTGGATGCCGTGACACTGAACTACCTTACTGGGAAGGTTGTATTCCATTCCCCATGAACACCAACATTTACTTTTAGTGTCAGGTCAACTAAGAGGAGGTCTGCCTTTAAGGACAAGAAACGATACTTTATTTCTCTGTGTTCATTTAATAATGTCTTAATTTCTAGGGGCGCCTGGGTGGCTCAGTCGGTTGAGCGTCCGACTTCGGCTCAGGTCATGATCTCACAGTTCGTGAGTTCGAGCCCCACGTTGGGCTTTGCACTGACAGATCAGAGCTGGAGCCTGCTTCGGATTCTGTGTCACCCTCTCTCTCTCTCTCTGCCCCTCCCCCACTCACACCATGTCTGTTTCTCCAAAATTAATAAACGTTAAAAAAAAATTTTTTTTTTTAAATAATGTCTTAACTTCTCTGACCCAGGTACCTGAAATGAGAAACTACTTACCCATGGGTCAAAGCAATTTTAACAAATCCTTTCCGCTGGCGGATGAACAGAGTGAATTTTCCAGGATGGGCATCCAGCGATTCTTCTGCGCCCCCGAGAACTATGACTGAAATGTTTCCACCTCCCTCCTTGCTCAGCACATGGGACACACTCTTCTTAGAAACTGAGACTGGCCCTTAGTGAATAAAACAAAAAGGGTAAGTACTTATTGTGTTTTAAAAATTACAGCATTTTTATCATAATATTCTGTGGCATCTGCGAACACTTAACAAAATTCCCTACCCTGCTTACATATGGAACAACTTGTAGTTTATAATTTTGACACAGCCAGATCTTTGGTAATGTATTCCATTAATTAGATCTAACGTTTTGGCAGGTGATGGGCTGCATCTTTAAAATGTCACTTGTTGGGGCGCCTGGGTGGCTCAGTGGGTTAAGCGGCCAACTTCGGCTCAGGTCATGATCTCGCGGTCCGTGGGTTCGAGCCCCGCGTCGGGCTCTGTGCTGACAGCTCAGAGCCTGGAGCTTGTTTTGGATTCTGTGTCTCCCTCTCTCTGACCCTCCCCTGTTCATGCTCTGTCTCTCCCTGTCTCAAAAATAAAGTAAAATGTTAAAAAAAATTAAAAAAAAAAAATGTCACTTGTTATTGGGACGCCTGGGTGGCTCAATCAGTTAGGTGTCCGATTCGGCTCAGGTCATGATCTCACCATTTGTGGGTTCAAGCCCCGTGTCGGGCTCTGTGCTGACAGCTCGGAGCCCGGAGTCTGCTTCGGATTCTGTGTCTCCCTCTCTCTCTGCCCCTCGCCCACTCACACTGTCTCTCAAAAACAAATAAACATTAAAATTGTATCCAAAAAAATTTTTTTAAGATGTCACTTGTTAAATCTACTGCTTATTTGGATAGGTTGTGCACTGCTCAATTGTATCTATGGACTCTATTCATACTGCATTACAAGTAAAAGGGCCCCTTGCAATTGTTCAGTCACAACCTGCATGGCTGTATTTGGTGGCCTTGATCAGTAGCCTGCTGAATCCTGGCTCAGAACCAAAAAGCATATCCTTTTCAAGAGGCTGCAACAGATCTTCTGAACACACAAGGGCCTGTTGTCAGATATTCTACATGGATTCTTGTTTCCCAAACCTACGTTTATATTGTAAATGGTTTTAAAAGTTTAGACGTTTAACAAATAACCAGATCTTTACATGGTTCCAAAATGCCTAGTCTGACTTTGGTAAACTGTTTACTTAAGACCGTGATATAATTGTTCGGTCTTTGTACCAGGCTTTCCCACATAAAAATAACTTTAAAGATTCCTTTTCAGATTTTGAATGTACTATGTCCTCTTGGAGGAAAACATCATGAACTCTTACAGGAAAAGAAAAAAGAGGAAAACACAAGCCATTCATGACCTGTATTTCATAGATAATTCCTTTTTAATGTCTTATTGTTTCCTCCCATTCTTGGCTTTATCCATTGTTTTTGGTCATAAAAGAATATGTCGGACACGTTTTATTAAGACACAACACACCTCATCTCTCAAAGGAAAATTATATGCTTATTTTTCTGTGAGCTCCTATTACTGGGGGAATATAGAATAATGCAGGATTTTGAGTGACCAACCACTTTCTTAAGAGAAGAGGCAGGAGCCTGGGTGGCTCAGTCAGTTAAGCAAGCGTCCGACTCTTGATTTCGGCTCAGATCGTGATCTCACGGTTGTCGGATGGAGTCCCGTACCGGGCTCTGTGCTGAGCATAGAGCCTGCTTGGGACTCTCTCTCTCCCTCTATGCCCCTCCCCCACTCGTGCTTGCTTGCTCTCTCTCTCAAAATAAATGAATCAATAAAGATTAAAAAAAGAGACAAAGAGAGAAGAAGCAGAGAGTGGTGGGTTAGAGGGCAAAGAACCCTGAGCCTCAATGGATTTGAACTTCCTCTGAGTTCAAGGCATGGCCATTGTGCCCCATGTGCCCTGAGTGGAAACTGGAGGCATAGCTTCCGGGCCTTTTAGATTTCCAGATACCGACTCTCCTCCGGGCACTTCTCAGTGTCCCTTTCTAGGCTCCCTTTACAGGATCTCTGTAACTGCTGCTATGTCTTAGGGCTCTAAGACCTGAATATTTGTATCCCTCCAAAATTTCTATAAATCCTAATCCCCAATAGAATGGTGTTAAGAAGTAGGACCTCTGGAAAGAATAAAAGAATGAGGTCATGAGAATGCAGCCCCAAGATGAGATCGGTGTTCTTATCAAAAGAGGAAGAGAGAGGGGTCATGTTATGTGAAGACATAACAAGATGGCTGGCTGCGTGCAAGCCAGTAATGGGGCTCTCACCAGACACTGGATCTGCCAGTGCCTTGATCTTGGACATCCAGCCTCCAGAACAGTGAACAATAAACGTCTATTATTTCAGCCACCCAGTCTATGGTATTTCGTTACAGCAGGTTGATCTATGACAGGCTCCTTCCTTGTTTCTAACACCTTTTAACGTTATCTACATACATGGATTCAACTACCACTTACAATTGCTGAGTTCTCCCAAACGTTATCTCCTGGGACATCTTCCTCCCGAGGCCCTACACCCACACTTCCAATGGCCCAGTGGACATTTCTACCTTGACAACTCAAAGACACCTCGGGTTCCATGTTGCCAAACCCAGTGCGCTGTATTCTTCCTCAAGGTTGTCCTTCTGGCAACATTTCCTCTCAGGGGGAATGGGGCCGTCATCTACTCTGTCACCCAAGTCAAAAGTATAGGCTCCTCCCATATATATTCCCCCTTCTTAGCAATCATGTCGACACATCAGTCATTCCTTCATTCAGAACACGTACTGAGCACCTGCTACAAGGCAGACACTGCGCTAGAGGCTGATGATATGATGACATATACATTGCTTGCTACCTTCACGAGCCCGCAGCAATCAATAAGTCTCGGTGAATCTATCGGCTGCTTTTCCTACTGACCTCCTCTGTGTAGTATATAAGGCTGTTGTGAGCTGATCTCTGCTACCTGCCCAGCCTTACTCGGTACACAGGAAGGAACAGGAGTCTTGAAACACAGAATGTGTCCCGCCTGACCCCTGGTGAGTACAGACTCATGAAAATGGACCAAGAGGAATGGTTTGGAGGCGGGACCTACAGGGACTTACAGCAACAGAAATCTATTGGGTAAGAGCAAAACAGGCACTGGTCAGCAAAGGACCTCTGAAACCCTACTGGTTCTTTATTACCGGGGGTTCGGTACACATGTCCGTCTGTCTCTCATGCCCAGACGGATGGCTGCCAAGGCAGGCACAGAGTAGAAGGGGCTGTCCTAGGAAGCCGGTTCCAGGAAAAATCAAGAACTCTCTAAACTTTAAGACAAGGACACCCTAGAGCTTCAAGTGTGGATATTTTTATTTAGCCTTTAGGAGATCTCAGGTCATAGGAAAAAGGAAAAGATCTCATAATGTCATAAGCCTGAGTGAACAGACAAGTTTAATCTCAAATGCTGGCTCGAGTAAATGGCAGCGAGTGTGAGGGCACTACTTGGAGAAAGACTCTCAGGTTGATTATATGTATCTGTCATGGCCACGGAGAGGGGTGTATCTACATCTCTCGGGCCATGAATTGCCACACCTGCTCTCAGTTATGCCACTCAAACGCACTTGTGGCTTGGAACCACAACTGTGTACTGTAAATACATTTCTGTGCTTTTTTTTTTTTGCAATTCAAAAAATTTCCCTTTAATTTTTTTTCCTTTTATAAAACGAACCCAATCAGTGTCTCCAAAACAGGGAAGAGATGGGATTTTTTTTTTTTTGCGCCTCTATGGTAGTTTGGAGGTTTGGTGCGCCCTCTAGAGGCCAGATATAGTGGCAGCCCAGACTGAACAGGGAGCCCAGGGCTTTGCGGGTGAAGGTCCAAAGACAGAACCCAAAAACCCAGCCAGGGATCCTGATCCTCCGGTGCTTAGTGATTTCCTATCAGGTATATAATGACAACAGAGATTTGAGAAATTAATAGGAAGTAATGAAAACCTGGAAGACCCTGGAAAATTCTGTCTCTGAATATGCCACTTACTGATCCTGAAATTATAAGTGTTCACATAGAGACTATCCGCTTTTCTTTATATCTAAGAAATGCAAGACAATAAAGTTAGCCTACACAGCGACCATAAACATAAAGCACTTTGTGAGTTACTGCAGTTCATGTGGAGTCAATAAGCTGGTCCAGTCAGAAAACCAAACAAACTGAACCCCTCAAATTACAGTGAGAGCTGTAAACACAAGCTTAGCCTCTGTGCACATTAATATAGTGTCTCCAGCATCCCAGTTAAATTTTATTCTTGGAATTGGTAGAATTATGGTTTCATTAATCAAAGAGTTTTCCGCTAGTTCAGAGTAGCAGAGTAGAATGAACTCATTTCTGAGCCAAATATTTAATCCGGGAAGAAAAAGGCAGATTAAGTATGCTTAGTTTACATACCGCCATTGCTTCAAGACATATTGGAGCACATTTTCCATCTCTAATGTTTATAAAAACATGCAAAGTGCCTCTCCAAAGGCACCGTCTATCACTTGTTTGACCCGAGATTCTTTCTTCCACATCTCAATACACAAAATGCACTCATCGATTTATTCATTGAATTAACATCTATTGAACTTTCCTATATCCCAGGCACAAGGCTAGACACTAGGTGTGTTAAAAAAAGACACAGTCTGTGTCTTCCTGGGACTTTCAGTCCAGTGGCAGAGGCAAGAATCATCCAAGCAGCATGTGAAGTGTCAGAAAGGGAAAAAAGCAAAGGGTTTTACTACAAAACTGTAAACCTGTGTTTGGGAGGGAACATTCTGTGTGGTCCTGCCTCCCTAGAACATGGTAGAAATAGTGATCTGCCTTCACTTACCGCTACTCATCAGATATTCTCGAAAGAGAGGACACCGGAACCAAAATGGGAGCACGTGGAGATATGCAGTGAATCCAGGAAACAGCTGTTCGAAGTCCGAATAATTCGTACAAAAATTTCCAAAGGCTCCAGCAACGAGCACTCCATGGGGATGAAACCCAAATATGTAGTTGTGACTTGGATCCAAATCCCAAGTTTTGATGAGCTACAGTATGTATTGAGGTTAAAAAAAAAAAAAGTTCCCTGATCAGTTTCCAATAAGAAACAAAGAAACCCCCTCATGATTAGTTCCTCTGTCAAAAGGAAATAGAGAACATGACTCATGTAGTTCTCTGGGTTAGTGATGTTTCCCAATTTTTAAACTATTTCCTAAGCCCAGGGCCCCTCACACACAGCCTTCTAGATCCCGTTTAGTCTGGGCTGATCTGCTGGCTTTCTCCCTCTGAAAAGGGAAAAGCTTAAACTGTGTGTGATAAAAACAAATTTCCATTCTTCTCCCAACTCAAAATAGTACTACACAAAACAATTCTACTCACATGAATTGGAAAATAGTCCTTAAAATACCTCCACACGGTCCAGCTTCTGACCCAGTTGGATCTCCTGCCCCCCTGCTCTGGGGTACGCCAGTCAAAGTAAAGCCATGTCATATAAGGGACATAGAGGAACCAATAGTTGTGTATGATCAGTATCACAATGATCCCAATGCACACCTGTGCTGTAAGAAAGGGAAAGACCTCAGGAGTCAGGGTCAGTTAGCATCTGCTCACTGTACTATATCACCATCGGCCCATGGCAGGGGGATTGAATACACACAAAGTGTGTTAAACCGAGCCTCATTTCGGGGCGCCTACATGGCTCAGTCAGTTGAGCATCCAACCCTTGATTTCGGCTCAGGTCATGATCCCAGAATCATGGGATCGAGCCCTACATCGGGCTCTGCCCCTTTCCCCTGCTCACACGCACTCTCTCTCTAAAAAGACAAAAACAAAAAACAAAACCTAAGCCTCAGTTCAAGTGAGGTAATAT